CCGGCACGTCCTGCGGTGGGCGCTGAGCTTGGCCAGCGAGGCGAAGGCGCGGCCGCAGCGGGCGCAGGGGAAGGGCCGCTGGCCCGAGTGCGCCCGGCGGTGCAGCGAGAGGTGCCCGCGGTGCGGGAACACGCGGCCGCACTCGGGGCACGCGTGGGCGCGCTGGGCGGCGCGGTGCCCCCGCAGGTGCAGCTCCAGGCTCTCCCTCCAGCCGAAGCTGCGCCCGCAGCGCCCGCACTCGAAGGGCCGCTCCTCGCCCGGCCGCCGGCGGCCCGGGGGCCGCGCCCGGTGCTGGTGGCGGTGCCGCAGCAGGTCCCCGCGCAGGCAGAAGCTGCGGCCGCACTCGGCGCAGCCGTGCCGGGCCCGGTTCCCCCGCCGCAGCTTCTTGTGCGCCAGGAGGCTGCGGCGGTGCCGGAAGGCTCTGCCGCAGGCGCCGCACGGGTACGGCCGGCCCGGCTGCGCCCCGGCCCCGCCGCTGCCGCCGGGCGCGAGCCCCGGCGCCGCCGGCACCCGCCGGGGCCCGGCCCGGGCGCGGCCCCCGCGCTCGGGGTCACGGCGGCCGGAGCGGGGGACGCCGGGCCCCGACTCCCAGCGTCCCTCGGCGTCATCCTTGCCGTCGGAACCGCTCGAGGCACCTGCTGGGAGCGGAGCGTCACCGCGGGGGCGTCCAACCCGGCCCGGGGGGTGGCACGCGGGGGCCCCGGCCAGGGCCGGCCCCTCGTCCCACAGCGAGCCCCCAGCCCCACAGGGTGTCCCCGGGCACTCACGGGTGTCGGTGGTGTCGGTGTCCCCGCTGTGCCCCCCGGCGCAGGGAACCCTCCCGTGCGACTCCTCCTTCATGTGGGTGAACCTGGAGTTGGGCTCTGTGCGGGAGGGAGGGTCCTCAGTGCCCCCCGCAACGCCCGGGAGGGTCACGGTCGCCGGGAATCGCCACCAGGCCGGGGTGCCCGGTGCCGGGGTGCCCGGTGCCGGTATTCCTCGCGGCCGGGACACGCCGGAGCCCCGCTCTGGCAGAGATGGGGCTGAGCCCTGCGGGGCCATCGGGCTGCAGAGCCCCGGCTCAGCCTCCGCACGCACAGCTCGGCCTCGGAGCCCCCGCCATGTACCCCGAGCCCTGGCTGACCTCTGAACCCCGGCCGAGCCCTCAGACCCCCAGCCAACCCCCCAAACCCCGGCTCAGCCTCTGAACCGTGCCCGTCAGCCGTATCCCCAGCCCTGGGCACCCCCTGCCCCGGGCACCCCCATCCCTGGGTACCCCCACCCCCGTGACACCCCCATCTCCGTGGCCCCCCCAGGCCTGGGCACCGCCAGCCCTTGGTACCCCCAGGCCTGGGCACCCCCAATCCGTGGCACCTCCAGCCCCGTGACACCCCCAGTCCCATGGCACCCCCATC